CAATGGCAACAGCGGCGTCTCGGGCACCTTCGGGTTTGCCATACTGCGCGTGATGTCCTGGTCGTAGGCGAAGTAGAACGTCTTGCTCGATCCGAACAGGATCTGACTCGTCCTCAATAACTTCGGTAGCAGGCTGATCGCGGCAGCGGTGCCGTCGGCGTCGGCGTCGGCGGAAATGCCGAACTTGGTCGGTACGGCCCCTTTGCTCTCCCCCCTATTATGCCCACTACCACTACCACCACGATTACCAGCCGGCCCATCATCCGCACTGAGCCCCATCGTCCGCTTTTGACCTGCCGCCCACCCAGACCGACTAAACCAGCGCTGGGCAAACCGTCCATAACTCCCCTTCCGCCCAATCACATCCTGCGCAACACTGCTCCGCCTCCCATGACCAGCAGCAGCCGCAGCCGCCGGCGCCGCCGGCGCCTCCGTCTCGCTCCCCACCTCCCCATCATCCGCAACCTCATCACTAACCCTCCCCCCACCACTCTCCGGCCCAGTATCATCCCCGCTCGCGGCCGCGGTCGACAGCTCCTCCCCATCCCCATCACCACCAGAACCCTTCTCCTCCTCCCGACCCCGGCGCCCCTGCGCGGCCGCAGTCGCGGCGATGGCCTGGGCGGCGTCCTGCTGCGACGTGCAGGGGGTGAGGGCGACCTCGGTGACGACGTAGACGGGCAGGCCGCGCACGGAGGCGACCTGCTGGCGGCGGGTGATGGAGATGAGGTAGCTGTAGTGGAAGACGGTGACGAGACCTGGGGGGTGGTTAGACAGGTAGTTAGTGTGTGGGTGTTTTTTGGGGGGTTGGGTTTTGAGGGTTTGTTTGGGACTTACCGACGATACCGAATGCCTCGAAGGAGGAATCTGGCGGGAGCGAAGCTGGATCGGGCGCCGAGTCGCGCGGGGCGGGGGAGATGGAGGCGTCGCCGTACTTGATGCGGATTGGGGGGAGAGCGACGGATCGCTGCTGTTGGTCTATGCTGCGCGAGTTGAACGGGTGCAGCACCAGCCCGTCGACCGCGGCGCAGATTATTACTTTGCGCGCCAGGCCCGGCATGGCGTATGGTTTGTCTAAGTGGTCTAAACCATGCCCGAAAGTCACTATTGAGGAGGAATGGTAATGCACTTGGTTTGTTCTGTGTGTTGAGGAGTCTATTGGACGTAGAATAAGAGAGAGCGAATGTGTATAAACCACGAAAGTTTGTCTTGGGGGAGAAAGTGCCGATTATTAACACCTCCAACGGGCTACATTGCCGGGTCTGACCTTGGCCCCTCGACTTGGGACCTGACCTGGCACCGATGATGTCTGGGAATGTGGGGTTTCGACCCATCCCGCAGGGCGCCCCCACGTCAGATTGCCAAATAGAGAGCGAGGAAAGAAAGGCGTGTTGCAACCCCAACCCTGAATCGAGAATGAAGAGATCGGGATAACTCGAGGTGTATTTCCCTAAACGACCTTGCTAGACTACAGCGGGTTGGTGACGATCCAAATCCTGTTCTGTGCAGCCAGCCTAGTACCAGACATGCTCAAGCGTTTCACCGTCCTGGCGTGCCGGCCATCTAGTCCAATCCAACCTCCATAACGGCCTTCTCTTTCCTTACATAGCCAGGCGCTCGACCTTGTCACGCAGCGCGCGGATCTTGGAGTTGAGATCCGAAGCCTCGTTCGACGTGAGGGAGACGGCAATGACGGCACGCGAGACACCGCAGGCGCGGCCGAGGGCGACCTTGCTGGGGACGTACTGCGGACATGTTAGCTTCTCCTCTTAATTCATTACGTGGAGCGAGGTTACGTACCACATAGGGGACGTTCTTCTCCTCGCCGATGAGCGGGATGTGGAGCACAATGCTCAGCGGCTGGGTGTCAGCGGCGAGAATGACCAACTCGCTCGTGCCGCGGTTGATCCTAGATACCCGTCAGTCAATCGATATCGCATCGTGCTCGAGGAAAGCGTGGACATACGACTTGGTCGCTTCGTTCTGGAACCGAGTTAGTGATCACCCCGGCTACAACTGATTGGCAGGGTTAACTTACAGCGCCCTTCTTGAGCTGGCGATAGTGGCTAGCCTGCTGGACACAGTCGAGCAGTTCCTGCACCAGCGCAGGGTCCTCGGCCTTGGGCCAGGCGGCAGACTCGTTTTGAGCAGCAGACATCTTGAAGTCGATCAGAATTGAAAGGTCGAGAGTACGGTATGAATTATCTTGTCACCAGGGTTCACTGCGTTTGCTCGCCCTGGGGTGGTGTGGAATGCCGTGAGAGATTGCGATCGCGAGGTACAACGAAAAAAGATTGATTGCCCCAGCGCTGGCAGCAAAAACAGATCCCAGCGAGGCGGAAACTTTGGGCGGTCATGTGCGGCAGAATGGACTTTGGTTAGGCCGGCTCCCGGATTACCTAATTGAAGGTGGCTGAGGTGGGTGCCGGATGGATGCCGCCTAGCAAAGCTCCTGAGGCACAGCCAACCAACAACAACCTGCACCAACCTGCACCAACCTGCAACCTGCAACCTGGAAACACCTCCAACCTCGAACTGTCAACCATCTACGACATCCACCCAACAGAGCTTCTACTTCCAACGCACCACACATCGCACACCCTTCATCGCCCTCGAGCCTCCCAATTATTTACTCTTCGTTCCCCCGCTGCAACGCGCGCGCTTAAACTTTCAAAATGACGGACTACTGGTAAGCCGCTACCCGGGCCGACGTCTTCCCCTCAAAACAAGCCGACCTCTTTCCTACTCGCAACAGCCAACAACTGAGCCTGCATTCCTACAATTGCACGCTACAATGGCGCACATGCGCGCTCCAATGGCTCAATGGATGTATCGCTAACAATCCCGTTTCTGCAGCCCTGTTTACGCGGTTAGTGCACCCTCGGTGTTGGACTGTCAGCTTGCCGGCGGTGACAACTTCGGCTCCCTCCAACCAACGGCGATCCGATCGCTCGGAATCCGACACACAACACACCCAAAAAACGTTCTCGTACTGACATGACAACAGCCCTTCTTCGGTGCCATGGGCTGCACCGCGGCTATTGTCTTCACCTGCCTGGGTGCCTCGTACGGCACAGCCAAGTCGGGTGTCGGCATCGCCGCCATGGGTGTTCTGCGCCCTGATCTCATCGTCAAGAGTGCGTTTACCACAGCGCAATGGCGCGAAGGCCATCCGGGAACAATTACTGACACGCTGCTCTAGACATCGTCCCCGTCATTATGGCGGGTATCATCGGTATCTACGGTCTGGTCGTCTCGGTCCTGATTTCCGACGCTCTCACACAAGACAACTATGCGCTCTACACGGGCTTCATCCAGCTCGGCGCTGGTCTTGCGGTCGGCCTTGCGGGCATGGCTGCCGGTTTCGCGATCGGTATTGTTGGTGATGCTGGTGTGCGCGGCACGGCGCAACAGCCTAGGCTGTTCGTCGGCATGATTCTGATTCTCATTTTCGCCGAAGTCTTGGGTAAGTTGTCGTGTTTTTAGGGTTACGGACTGCGCTAACACGGACTAGGTCTCTACGGCCTGATTGTCGCGCTGCTCATGAACTCGAAGGCTACGCTCAACATCTCGTGCTAATAAGCGCGCTCGTTGACACGGGTGGAGGATGGGCGGACAAGCTGTAACTATCCACAGCCCAGACTCCCCCGTGGACTATCACAACACAATCGCGATCCTATTTGCATAGGGTCAGGCGCGAAAGGGGGGCTCGACGTTGGGGTTGGTATAGGGCGGGGGTGAAGGGGGGCAGTATGGGGTTGAGCAAGCGGCGCATCTCGGGCAGGGTTGGTTAATGGCTTCGCGGGACGTACCTGTACTATTGTCACATTCGGGTTGCGCATCGCTCTGGGTTTCACTTTCTCATCATAGACGGATGATGGGCGAGATTGTAGTCTAGTTTGGCAATGGTTGCTGCATTTCGCGTCTTTTCATCTGATTTTTTGATATATCCGGCTATGGTGATGATGGTGATGTGGTCTGCTCGTAGCTGTTACCAGTCCTGAGGCAAGGCCTTACTGCGGCTCACCCGACCTACCGTGATCAACATGTGAGATGCAACTTACTGTAGGGATCCGGTCCCGTTCCTGAGTTTGCTTTTTGGCCACACTCGTGATGGTCTCGGTTTGCTCATCAAAATGCTCAGTGAGCCGCTCCGGAATATCGTCTCATAGCATCAAGTCGTTAGTTGGAATATACGTGGACGACATGAGATAAAGGTCAATCAGGATCATATCATCGCCAGCCGCCCTTAGTAGCTCAACTCGGCGAGATGAACAACGGTGGGCGATCGACGAATGAAATGTACAAGAGGAGGATGGGGGTTTACTCGGCGACTGGGAGGCTGCCCTGGGTCTCGTGTAAGGGCGATAGTTGGCGGTGTTAAGTGGTTGGATCGACCCAGAAAGGAAGTGGAAGTGGTTATTGTTGGATATTTTGACTTTAGAACAAAAGGTCACGGAGTTCTTTGAGGGAGGCTGTAGCTGCTAGTAGTCCCAGATGTTGGCCGCCCGAGGCTACGAGACTGATGAACTGGCGCGAGAGCACTTTGATGTCGTTATCAACAACGCTCTCTCTCTCTCTCCATTGTTAACGTATGTACATACATACATACCAGCAGCCGCCAACACTGAGGACTGCCTCTCCTTCCCTGGCATTACCCGTTTTGAGGAAAAGGGCGGGTTCATCGACAATGATAACATTCTCCTCGGCTTGTATCCCCCATCCCAAGTAGCAGGCTGAACGAGGTTTGATCATCGACCGGCCGGCTTACCTCGAGGCTTCCTCGGCCAACACCTTGTCTGGGTTCGTCTCATGTTGTCAAGCGACCAACAAACAGACCCCGGTTGGTTAGAGTTACCGAGTAGCCTGCACGGTCCCCCCTGACAAAGGCGCCCCACAACCACACTTACAGAACATTAAATTACCCTACCGAAACACCAAAAACTCCGCACAGAAAAACTCTTCCAAACCACCTCGGCCTCAACAACAAAGCAAGCCGCGCCCGGCTAGCTCAATCGGTAGAGCGTGAGACTCTTATGATCACGTAATCAAAAACAATCTCAAGGTTGTGGGTTCGACCCCCACGTCGGGCTCAATTCCCGTCCTCGATTGGCGCGCGCATCTTTTTGGCTTTTTTTCTTCTTTTCCTCTTTTTTCCTTTGGAGGGACTTCCAGGGGCTTGGTCACTTGGAAGGGGGGGGAGGCTTCGAGGGTTTCTAGGGCCCGATAGTAGCGCGATACTCACTCGTTGTATCTTTTCGTTTTGACGCTGTCCGCCTGGTCTGTGGGTTATGATCCATGGGGAGGGCTTAAGAGTAGCGGTGGGATAATACGGATCAAGACAGGTTCTTGTCACTCTTCTGTGTTCGGTCACCGTTGATCACCTATCTCCGCCTTCTCCCAATAGTACCGCGTATTCTACATCAAACCAATTTGTTGGTCGTTGCTGTTTTTCGGGCGGGTTAGTCCAGCGGTCCCGTTCAGGGGTAACAACTTCCCGTCGTCATACATCGGATTACCATTCTCGACAACTTTAAAGCATTACCATTAATTTTAGCTTCACTAAAGAATAGTCGGTAGCAAGTAGGAAAGCCAACCCGCACGCGCCCCTGCTTGATGACACCGGCTCAAGCAAATCAAGTCCATGTGCCCCTTTGGACCCCTCCCTCCCCGGCATATCCCATCCATCAGTCATCGCATCCATCACATCACATTGCCCCTAAATCCCAAGCACACTCCATGCAAAATTTCCCATGCACCCACCACACCGCCTCCCTCTCTCGCACCAATACCCAAAGAGAATTGGACTTAGATGACGTACTGCACAACATATTAGCAACCATGGCTCACACCAAGAATAGAATAGACAGTAACCTACCGGAATGAACAGATACGGCACCTGCTTCTCATACTCGGTCCATGCCGCGCCATACTTCTCCCTGCAGCGGGTGATGTCGCGCCAGGCGCGGTGGGCGATCATGACGGCGAAGAAGACGGGGTAGAACCAGGGGAAGGGGCTGTTGAAGCCGGTGATGAGGCCCCAGGTGGTGGCAAAGTAGACGTCGCAGGTGTAGTGGACCTTGCGGGCGAGGCCGTACCAGCCGTCGGCCAGGATCTTGTCGCCGAGGCCCGTCTCGATGGTCTTGGGGTTGTAGAGGGTCTGCCAGGGCACCTGGGGGAAGGTGTTGCGCTTGACGAGGGTGCCGCGCTCCATGGAGCGGAACCGGTTCTTCTGGCTGTTGGCGCTGTCCCAGATCCAGTAGACGAATATGTAGCTGACGTACAGCGCGGCGAGCGCCCAGCGGTTCCAGCGGTACGTCTCGGGCGCGTGGTTGGCCAGGTAGATGGTGCAGTGGCAGTACGACAGCGGCACGCCCGACAGGTTCCAGAAGATGAGCATGAAGCCCCACTTCTCGTAGTACATGTCCCACGTGGTCACGATGAGCTCCTCGCCCTTGGCCGTGGCGTTGCCGTAGAGGAAGTGCGCGAGCATCAGGAAGCCGACCTCGCCCGAGACGTAGCCGTAGCGGTCCCACTGGCGCGCCGCCGCGCCGCAGGACAGGAGGAACAGGATGTACCACGGCATGCGCACCTCGAAGAACATCTTGAAGTCGAGGATGCCGAACATGCGCGGGTTCAGCTCGGCGCCCATGAAGAAGTCGTAGACGTGGTTGCCCGACATGCGGTGCTGGGCGCCGCGCGCGAGGGCCGACACGTACGCCACGATGGACACCAGCCAGCCCGAGAGGATCGAGACGGAAAGCAGCGGGCCGAACTCATCGATGATGGTGTACAGCGGGAACACGCCCGAGAAGTGGAGGCCGGCGACGATGGTGAGGGTGGCGTACCACGACGTGTAAGCGGAGCAGTAGTACTTGAGCTGCTTGCCGCCCTCGTGCTCCAGCGGCTTGCCGTACGCCCAGATGCCCGGCATCAGGCAGTAGAAGGCGCCCTCGACGACGAAGAAAACCCAGTAGATCAGCCAGGCCTTGGTATGGGGGAAGGCGCCCGTGTAGACGAGGTTGACGAGGTGGCTGGCGAATTCGCCCCAGGTTTGGCCGGCAGCGCGGACGGGAAAGCCACCGTCGTAGTAGGTGGCGCCGATCCACATGTACCACATGAGGACGGGGAAGCCGACCATCATGAGCGAGACGAACCAAGGACCGCCGAACTCATACTCGCCTGAGAAATCCGCGTCCGAGAGCTTTGGTTTGGCCTTGACCGCCGTGCCATTGGCCTCCTTGCCGTTGGCCCCCTTGCCATTGGCCTTGGGGAACGACGTTTCGGCGCTGTCGCTGTCGACGGGCGTTTCAGGCGGTGTCGGTTCGTCTATGTGCTCGGTGAACTTGGGCGCGGCGCGCCGGCGCAACTGCTTGCTATCCATGACTTCGGGGGGCGGGGTGGACTCGGCTTCGTCCTCGGTCGTCAACGGGGTTTTCCTACGGGTGTTGCGGCGGGCCGGAGTCTCGACCATGCCGTCAAAGAGCTCCTTTTTCCTACCCAGGGGTTAGCGTCTGGAGGAATCTCGCGGTCAAGGAAGTCGCGTGTAAAGCAAGGTGGTACAAGTAACTTACCTCGGCGTCTGCCTCAGAGAATATCTGGCAGACATCTTGACTGATAGGTACGCGACGTGGGCGCAACCTTATACTCTGAAATTTTAAAGGGGTTGCTGGTCACGGACGTGAAGCGGGAAGAAAAGTCCGAAACACTTGGATACTAGTATCGCGTAAAGAATGTCGGGCGCTTGCCCAGCGGAACCTTGACAACCAGTGACCTGGCAGTTTCCTAGGCGGTCAAGCCAAAAAAGAATGTGTACTGTGTCCAGTCCAGACAAACCAAGAAAGCGAGAGAGAAAAAGACCCGTGGTCCCACGACCGCGGCACCCTCCTGCTCGGTCGATCGCGCACTTGCAGTAGCTGCAGATGCGAGGACCAATGGTTGCTGCCAATCCCGTTTGTTGACAAAATTTGCCCAGGCAATCAACCCCCTGTCAAGGTCACATCTCTCCACATCGGTGGGTGCCACAGCAGCCCACAGCGGCATGAGTGGTGGCTTCCCAGTGCAAGCGCTGTGACGGGAGCGTTCTTAGACACTAGTATTAGCTAAGCTGAATTCCGAGGATTCAAGTTGGAATGCACCATTCCCGACCAAAGGATCCCGTGCCAATTTCCCGTCGTTTAACGAGTATCCGACCACCATACAGATTACGAAGTACTAGTATTCCGTATTGTGTGCACGGGCTAAAGTAGTGGTAGTTTGATTGTTTCCCCATCTCGTGTCCCTCCTAAATGTGGTTCACTCGTATTACCTAACCGATCAAGAAGCTTGCTGCCTCGGATTGTCAAACCAAACAAAGTCCCTGGTGTTTGAAAACAAAATGGAAGAACTGGAAGCGTCAAACCTCGACAAGACCCACTAACGCCAACACATCAAGGACATACCGAGTTCATATCATATCATGCCCACCATATCACCGTCAGAAAATCGCCCCTCTCATCAATCGACATCTACACGCCGTTGGAATCATTCAACAACTGCGAGTACCCATCCTCGGGCGGCAGCACAAGTGCCGAGATGGCCAGCCCAACCCCAGCCAGTAACGCAGCACTCGCGCTGATCGTGCACAAGTACCACGATGAGTCCAAGCGATATCCGGGGACCAGGAACAAGTCGTCATGATCAAACAGATATGCCTAATCGCCATCGTCATCATCAGCACCGCCCAAACAAGCACAGGTAGTAGGTAGGGTAAGAAAAAAGAAAAGAAAAAAAGAGAAAAAAGAAGAAGAAAAAGAAACTCACCACCACCGCCATCCCCACAAACTGCGCCGCCGCCACCGCAGCCAGCAGTCCGCCCAGGACCTTCCACCCGCCCTCCCGCTTGACGCGCCCGCCGGCCAGGATGACGAGGAAGCCGACGAGGGAGGCCAGCTCGGCGACGACGGCGAAGCTCATCAAGAAGCCCGTGGTGCGCCACATGGAGCAGAAGGAGCGGCCGCCGCCGTGGTCGTCGCCGCAGCGCGAGGCCTCGGGGAAGGGGACGCACGACCCCGTCGACGACGCGCACCGCCGGTGCAGCCCGATCGTGTCGGTGACCGTCCCGCCTGATGGCGAGGGCACGGTCAACGAGACCCATTTGGGGGAGACGATCGAGGCTAGGGTCATGGTCGTTGCTGCAGGGAGGGGTGCGGTTGTTAGTGTTGGTTTTAACTCCATAGGGATAGTTTGGAGTGTGTAGAGGCTGAGGTATGAGGGGTAGGTCTGCGATGAACTCAAGGTGGCTACGGCATCCCCGCCAAAGACGATGCTCGCGACGGCTTCGGTCACCGAGAGGGAGCCATCATCACGACGCTTCTGTTCAGGCCCGTCTGACACATAAAACAGAAAAACGCTCCAGCTCGACATGTGAACTGGCCCAAACACAAATCAATTTGAACTCACCCACAACCAAAGCGACCAACGCCGTGCTGTAGACCACGGTGCGCGTCATGTTGGCAGCAGCAAGACTCGAGCCTTCAATCCAGCAACGCAAAACATACGACAAACGGCCGAGCCAGTAATCAAAATCCGCCAGGCGAAACGCGGATGGGTCAAATCGCACAAAAAAGACAATGGCGCAATGAATGAAGTTGAAATGCCAGGTTGCCTGATGCCTTGGGCTGATGACGTCCCCGTGGAGGCCGCACGTGTGCCGCGCAAGCCGGGCCGGGAGGGGCACAGCCACCTCCGCTCCGGCGATCTGATCGGGGTCGTTGTGTTTGGCCAACTGACCTGCTGTGATTGGCGGGTTCATCACATGTTTCGATCCTCGTGAACGTCGGTCGGAGAGACCATCGACGAGCTTTTGGTAAGTTACATGGCCTTGAATTGAAGGGGGGAAGAAAGATAGCAATAGAAGAACCACATAATCTGCGGTATGCATAGTGATCGATTCGCATCTATACGAAGGGATCCAAGCCCAGCTCGGCCTCCTCTCGCTTTCCCAGGAGCATTTTCATGTTAACCCTGCCTGACCCTTTCAAACCAGACCACAACCCCAAACCTATCAAAAGAAAATAAATAACCGCCCCGCTCTAAGATGCATAAGAATGGC